CTCCAGGCCCGAAGGGGTACCTGGGGCAGTAACTTCCAGTGTGTGAAGGTGCGTCCAGACGGAGACTAGGGAGGGCTGCCCGGCCACCTGCTTCTGAAATCAGCCCGCAGAACCCCGTGGACCGCTGCTGGGGATGGCTCAGGCCCAGCCTGAGCGTTCGTGTCCTGGTGTTTGGGGGCACCCTGAGCCAGGGGGAGACCCCCAGGTGGCTCACTGCAAGAAGGAGACCATTGGAAGGGGGCTTTTGTACGGGGGTCCGCCTGTCTTCGCAGCCAGGGGACAGTGTGGGTGCGCAGGCAGCAGCTGGCTGTTTGGAACGAGCTTCCTATGCATGGGGCACCTCGATACCCCTCCTCATCCTGGCCCCTCTCTTCCAGACCGGATGTCAATTCAGGGGGTGGGAGCAGGCAGGTGTGATGGGTGCTGGTGGGCTGGGGCAGAGCTTTGGGGCAATTTCTGAGGCGGCTGTAGGGCGCCTGCAATGCTTGCTCAAGGGTGTGGATGGGGCTACCCCTTGGGGCTCCATTGCTGGGGAACAGGGTGTGCCACTCTCTCCCCTGCCCCCGGCCCCTCGAGCTGGGCTGCCACCCCGCACCTGGCTGTGCTGGGCATCTGCACAGAGAGCTTTGTGTGGCTGGTAGAGGCCACATGGCATGAAGACCAGTGGTGACAGTTCAGGCAAGCCGGGGTGCCTGACCAGGACCACCGCGTCTGTATGCAGGCCCTGCCCACCGCACGATCACACGGACCCATGCCCCACCTGCCCCACCAGAACCTCCCCGACCCTCAAGAACCAGATCCAGACCCGCCCACCGCCCTCTCTCCCCATCTTCTGAGTTGGGAGGATTACAGGAGATTCTGGACCTCATCAGCTCCTTCTGCCCTCCCCTGTCCCCCATTCCAGACCCCACTCATCCCAGTCCCCCTCTACCCTCCCCTGTCCCCCCATTCCAGACCCTACTCATCCCAGTCTCTGTCTTGCCCCACACCCCACTCTGTGAGCCCTTCACAGCCACATTGCAGCACTGCAATGTGTGTGTGTGTGAATGTATGTGTGTGTGTGTGTGAATGTATGTATGTGAATGTGTGAGAGTGTGTGAATGTGTATGTATGTGTGACTGCATGTGTATGTGTGAATGTGTATGTGAGTGTGTGAATATGTGTGAGTGTGTGTGAGTGCATGTGAATGTGTGTGTAAGTGCATGTGTGTGTGTGTGTGTGTGTGTGTGTGTGTGTGTTTCCCTGGCCAGTGGACCGGGGGCTCCCAGCAGCCAGTCAGGCCCAGCAGGTGTCGGCTCTGTGGCTGGAGGGCATGGTCCCCCACAGAGGTGTGGGTGCTGTGCACATGACACAGGTTGTAGAAGGGCGATAACTGGTGCATCCAGGGGGCTCTAAATGCAGCTACATGGTCCTTGCAGGAGCCAGGGGGCACTTGACCACCAAAGGCCTTAGGAGGACAGAGGCAGGGGCGGGGATGGGGCTGGGAGATGGACTCCGGGTGTCAGCATGGCATCCCCAGAGCTTCCAGCAGAGCCCGTGCTGATGTGGGCCCCGGGTCTAAGAGGGGACACGTTGCTAGGCTCGGTCTCCCAGGGTGGCTACTGCTGCCCCAGGAGGGAGTCCATAGGATGGACACACGCTCTGGAACCTCCTGGCCCAGGAGGCAGTGGCCTGCTGCAGGGCCTCCGTGACTTGGCCATCCTTTGAGCAGGAATGTCTTGGCAGTGACCACAGCTGGTGAGCAGGCGAGTGCCCCTCCCCCATCCGACCCAGCACCTTCCTGCCCTGCACAGCGCAGACCTCATGGGCATCCTGTCCACCTCAACTTGAGCCACTGCTGAGAAGGCCACTGTAGTTGGCAGGATGCCCAGGGTGGGCACATGTGGCCTGAAGGAGGTGCAGTGAGCCCTGGGGCCTTGTTTGGGCTCGGTCAGGTGGACGGGGAGAGCTGCAAGCCCGACAGGGGGCTCCTGGGCAGAGCACCCGCACGTAGCTCCGCGTGGCATGCTCTCCCACCCAGAGCATGTGTTACTGCCAGTCCAGCCAGCTGTGGGGCGAGGGGTACCCACAGATGGGCTTCTCTGTGCCCACAAATGGCCCTTTGTGCCCTGGGGCAGGCTGGAGCCTCAGGGAATAGCACCCCCCTCAGTGGAATGGGAAACCTAGTGGCCAGCAGGCTCCCTGCTGGCAGAAGAGGCAGTGCCTGGGAGGCAGGAGTGGGCAAGACCAGCCTGCTGTCCTGGCCACCCTGTGCCACATGCCCTGCCACCGTGGCCTCGGTCAAGGTGACTCCTGCTCAGGGGTCTTCCAGGGGTCAGAGGTGGTGTGGGACCACTTTGGAGGCACCGTGCAGGGTCTGTTCCCCCCAGACCTGGGCAGAGCCAGGCAGGTGTCTGACGGGAGAGTTTGGTGAGCACTCCTGTGAGTGTGGGTGGCCAACACGTCCAGTCCACACTCTGTTAAGTCTGTTCCTGCGCAGTGCCTGCATGTGGGTGGTCAGACTTGGGGTGCTGACCTTGCTAGTCTCCCTCACAAAGCGGGACAACTCCCCCACATCAGGGAGCTTGTGGGAAAGGCGTGTCCAATCCGAATCCAGGCAGCCTGCACTGGCTGTATTCTCACGGGGGGTGGGGTGGTACACCTACCTACTATGTGCCTGTGGGGGAGTGTAAGCCTGTGCCTGCCTACTATGTACCTGTGTGACACTGCAGGGCACAGAAGTCCTGAGCGGCCTGGATTCCCTCAGGAAGCTGGCTCCCAATCCCGTGGGGGTGCCCCAGCCCTTCCCACTGCTGGGCCTTCTCTGCACTCCTCATTCAGCCCCCCACTCCCGGCCCCTCCCCCCTCCGATGGCCCTCCCACCTCTGGGAAGGGGGCAGTGGGTGGAGGGAACAATGGTGGGAACCTCCCCTGCAGGACAGTGAGGAGAGCCGGAAGGGTGTCAGGGGCACAGCAGACACAGACTGGCCGATGGGCCCAGGACTCAGGAGACCCACGTTTATTCTCCAAAGCCAGCGGGGGTGGGTGTGGGGGGGGGG